AATAGATGAGTGTCCAGTGGCAAAGGGCTCTTGGGAAAACCAACCGTTGAGAGTTTAGGAATGACAAAGGAAGAGTGGCCCAAAGACATAGATACCTAGAATGCAGAGACAGGGTGATGGATGGAGTGAGGAAAAGAGGAAGATATGCTGTAACTCTTTGATTCCTTATCCTTAGCAATACCTGCGGCCAGTGGAAGACGTGGCCACATCCCAAGATGACTGCTACAAGTTCGCCATCTCACAGTCATCCACGGGCACTGTTATGGGAGCAGTTATCATGGAGGGCTTCTACGTTGTCTTTGATCGGGCAAGGAAACGAATTGGCTTTGCTGTCAGCGCTTGCCATGGTGAGAACACCAGGTTACGGGGTCAGTCTATCTATGTTCTCCCTATCCAGCAGTCAGGATACCTGGGCCCATCAGCGGGGAGGTAGTAACAGTTGCCTCAAGCCCGAGTCAACACACTGAACACACTGGACAAACGCGTGTCAGCGTTCATGCTTGTTTTGTACTGCTTGCCTCGGGTGGTACCTCTGTCGGACACCCAGGGCAGCAAGAGCTGCCTAGCACCTTAGGAAGCTCTAGATCCAAGGGCAGCAGGCTGAGCCCACAGTGACCCTGTCACCTGCTGTATGGTGAGTTTGAATGCTACTTCAGAATGGTAGCAACTAGTCTTGCAACTAGATTTTAGCAGTGTCAGGTGAGTCTACTAGGTGTATATGGAGCTCTTTTTAGTCAACTCAGAACAACGGACTTTTGGGTATCATTCCTATTAGACAGGTACACAGAAAAAAGGTTGTTGCTCCCAAGCCAGTGGGGGACATGCCCCCACCTAGCACTGGCTTTTGATAGCCCCCAAAGGGGCTAATTTCAAGGCCTATCAGGAGTTATTTTTGTTGTATATTCCAAACTGCTCTATGATGATGAGACCTGCCCACTCACATGTGCCCTTTCTCCAGTGCACGATGAGTTCAGGACAGCAGCGGTGGAAGGTCCGTTTGTCACCCTGGACATGGAAGACTGTGGCTACAACATTCCACAGACAGATGAATCAACCCTCATGACGATAGCCTATGTCATGGCTGCCATCTGCGCCCTCTTCATGCTGCCACTCTGCCTCATGGTGTGTCAGTGGCGTTGCCTCCGCTGTCTGCGCCATCAGCATGATGACTTTGCTGATGACATCTCCCTGCTGAAGTGAGGAGGCCCTTGAGCAGAAGGCAGAGATTCCCCTGGACCACATCTGGGTGGTTGGTTCAATTTGGTCACAAGGAAACACAGATGGCACCTGTGGCCAGAGCACCTCAGGACCCTTACCCACCCACCAAATGCCTCTGCCTTGACAGAAAAGAAGTAAAAGCTGGCGAGGTGGGTTACAGGGTTTGCACCTGTAGGAAATAGGAGGGAAGAAAGAATGTTCTAGTGGCAGGAATACTCTGTCACTCAAACTTAACTTGGGAAATTTTGTTGCTTGAAACTTCAGCCCTCTTTGTCCACCATCCCTCTTAATCCCCCAACCCAAAATATTCTTCTTTCCTTAGTTCCAGAAGTAATGGTGTCCCACACAGGTGATGCCAGTGAGTGTCTGCAGTACCTGGAAGAGAAAGGGCCAGTTCCCCTGCTGCCAAACTCAGTAGGAGCAAATGCAGTTTGCTTTTGCATTAGAGATAGGAACTGTATCAATAAGCCTAACACTGGTGCAAAGATTGCCTCTTGAATTAAACAAAAAATAATATGACTCAATATTTGTACAAATGGGGGTGGTTGGAAGAGGAGAGGGAGTGCAAAGACAGGGAATAAAAGGGGATCCAGGCTAGGAAAGGTAGAAACATGACTACTTGCCAGTTCCAGCTTCAGACTTCGTCTCTAAGACAGACTCCCATCTCTGTGAGATGGTGTTGCTTCCCAGAATTTTGTCTGTAGCTGCAGCCTGACCAAAAGTGAGATAGGAAGAAGAGCTTATTTAGCCAAAAGGCTCTTTTTAGCTCTTCAATGAAAAGTGTCCACTAGGAAGTTCCAGCTAACATATGAATTTTTACCTTATTGATTCCACTTGTCTCTATCTGAATGCCCTGCTCTACATATGCTAGGTAGCACTAAAATATCCCAACCCTCCGAAACTCCAGTGCCCTATGGAAAGCAACTGAAATAGAGCAAACAGAGCAAGGCTGGGCTTCATCTAGCTGGATACCTCTTCACTCCCCCAAATCCCTAGTCCTCTGGAGCTCTGCAGCTGAGGTGCTAAGAAGAATAGACAGGAGACTTCTCCTACCTAATAATCCTTGAAAGCAGAATCCTGAAGATTCATTCAACAGGCATAGGGGTGATGCCCTTTATCCATGCTTGGATTTCTTCCTGTTCAGTTTTAAGTTATAGTAAGATCTTTACATAATACAGAGCAATTTCATTGTCTTCTCAACCTCTTTAATGTCTCACCCTCCATCTGTTTGGCTAAGGCATCCCACCGTGGCACAAGTATTATACCAAGAGTGTCAGGAACACAGGACTTTCAGGTTATAGCATCATTGCCTTCAGTATCAAGGCTGCCTGGAGAACGGATGGCAGCCTCAGGGCTTCCTTAATTCACCTCAGTGGAATCCATCCTTTTCTCCTGTTCTGCTCTCTATTCCCCACTCCTAATAGTACTTGGGTACCCAGGCTGGTTCTTGGGCTAAGTATTGGTGACCAAGTTCATTTCCAAGTTCATTTCACTTCTACCACAGTCAACTATGACACCAGTGTCAGTGAGAAGAGCTGAATTTTCCTAGTATACCCACTGGATCTTATTCCTTACATAGTCATCACACTGTTTCCAGGTATGGGACCTGTCGAGTGTGGAATTACCTGATGAGGGAGAGGGATCTGCAAGAAGGGTCTCTGGAAATCCTGGCCTCAGCCGGCTGCCCACAAGCCATAAATCAATAAATCAAGAACACTGAGTCATAGTTTTTTATCTGGATTCTCTTCATTCCCCTGCACTTGGTGCTGCTTTGGCTGGCTGGGAACACTGCATAACTACAACGATGGACAGGAAGACTGGAGATTGTCCACTTCCAGCTCGGAACTTACTATGTAAATAAACTTCCAGAATTGCTACCGTGAAATAAAAATGCCACATTCTGCTTTATAATTTCTACCCATGTTGGGGAAAACTTTTTTCCCCCCAGTTCTTTCCAGGGTATAAAACTCAACCCCTTCACTAATAAGTTCCACTGTCCTATTTTCCTTTAAGAGAAAACCTGGGCTTGCTTTTTACAGTTAACTTCCTTTCTACTCTGAAACTATAAACTCTAAGTATACAAAGAAAAATCTTGACCACAGCTTCTTGCCTGTAAAAATATGTATTCTATGTCTCTATTTTTAAACTCTACTCCAGAAAAATGGCTGTCCCCACTCTCCTCACTGTACTGGGGCCTTTCCCACTGTCTGCATGGCTGTTCCTGCTGCAGGCCAGCGGGCAGAAGGAAAAGGAGAGCAAGGCTGGCCAATACATCAGTGCTGCTTTCTGACTGATCCTGAACAAGGAAGAGAAAAGAGCAATAGTAAGGCCCCAGTTCCCACACACAACTCTCCAAAGCACTTGTCCTTCTGCTATAATTGGCTTTCAAGGGCTTTTACTGGGTAGCGGTTAAGCTCCCTTAACTACTGCCTCCTTTTTCTCTCCTTTGGATTCAAAGACTTGTGGAAAAGAAACAGAATATTCTTTACATACACTTCTAATTTCTAAATTTTCAGGGGATACTAAAAAATACTGCAGGTAGCCCAAGGGCTGCTGCAAGGTTGAGGGGAAATAAAATCTTAAGATTACAAGATAAAAAAAAAAAATCCTCCACCAAATAAAAAGAACAAAGGAACTGGTCTTCCATTTTGCCACATTTCCTGATCATGACAGCTACTACACTGGATACATTCATATTTTATTACCCAAAGGAAGTGGGTTAATGTCTATGTAGAGGGGTACTTAGGTCATTTCAATGTCCCACAAGATGTCCAAGAGGTTCTGGGAAATCCAGTTCCTTAGACTGATGTCAGTCAATAAACCTGGAAAAGTAAGAAAGGAAAAGAGGAAGAATGTGTCCATGAGCCCACAGGCAAGAATGAAAGACAAAGAAGGAAAAGAGTAACAAAAACAGGGGAGAATTAGATGAACCTGAAAACAGTTTTTGCTACCCAAGTGTATTACAAGTGTGAGTAAGCACTGCCAGGTCCCAGAATGGAAAAAAAAATCAGCTGTTGGTGATGTAATAATGTCCTTCCCCTGAAGCTATTTTTAAAAAATTAACACTTAGTTTTTAGTTGTTAATTCCAAAAGAGAAGGGTGCTGAAGCCACTTCTGCTAAGAGTAAAGATAAAAGGATAGGAAAAGACTCAAAGCTGTAATAGAGTCACAGTTTTCTTAGGTATAAACCAAAATGCTCAGTAAGCAGAGTTGGAAAAAAATGATCTAGTTCCAGATAGCTGTCCACATAACAAATGACTTGTAAACCTGAAACCCAAGCTCTCTTTACATCACTCTGGTCTCCATTTTTCCCAGGGCAGGACACCTCTTGCCCTGTTCTCCATAGCTTTCTTGCCTCAAAAATTAAAACCCAGCATCCCGAGATCATTCTGAAAATAATTTTGCACAGACACCTCCTCACCCCAGTGCCTGACTGGAGTTCATCTAAGGTCACCACCCAACCTGGTTGTGAACTACCTGCCTTGACTTTCGATACAGAGACAGGATTAGGTAGACTAGGAGACCAGAAGTACAAGGGGTGAGGTAAGGACTTTACAAAGTTGGCCAAGTCCATGGTGGCAAGGGATGGCTTGCCAGAAGAGACCTGTAGGTTGTGCTAGTTTCTAGAGATGACTATCTAGGAACAGAAGTTTGTTAGGGCGTGAGGGAAATGGGACCTGGTTATGCTGTTATTCTTAGGACTGAATATAGCTGATGTAAAACAGAATATCCTATAAACCTAAAGTGTATGTACAAAAAAAATGAGCACTAACACAGTAAAATACTTGATGAAAAGTCAAACTATTAGGGTTACATTTTTTTTCCTCAATCAGTCTCATTTTATCCATTTGAAGTCGAGTTGCTACAACACTGAGGCTTCAGAGGCTTTTAGTAAGCAAGGCATCTGTTTGTACAGTGGGTGAGCACCAGGGTCGAAATCTGCATACATAAGCCTTAAGAAAACGGACTAGTAGTTGAGCCAAATCAAAGCAGGATAGCCTTAGAGCAACAGTAGCTTCCTAACAGTTTTTATATTGTATTTGAAAACAGCTTTAGGCAGGAATATTTTAATTTCAAGGCCAAACTAAATATCATCTTAGCTACAACCTGCATCCCCCAAAGGGACTGCACGGTGAAGGGGGCAGACCCATTCTGCATAATATACATACTTTCATTTACGAACATTTGAATACAGACTTTCTATACACACATTACCCTATATAATAAAAATGTACATGGCATGAGTATATGTCACTGTATAAATATAGAGTTTTAGAAATCTTGAACCCGCGCTTCCTGTTCACATCAGTTTCTCTTCTTCCTCCTCAATCAGGTCCGTCATTTAAGAGTTGGACAAAAGGGACAAGTGTCATTTGTGTTGGTCTGGGCCCAGAATTTGATACACTGGAAAGAAAAAAAGACATACCTCAGCTTTATCTGGAAAGATGGAATGAAGGAGGAGAGAGAGTACTGTTGAGGTTCAATGGGTCTAAGAAATATCTACTAAGTCAGAAAAGCTCCTACCGTGGGGGACTAGAAGGGCTATTTCATTGACTCTTACCCCCCCCCAAAATCTTCAGAGCAGGAAAACCTATTCTTTTTATAGGGAAAATTAATAATCAACTAATAATAGTATGAAACTGCTCTTTTGTTGAATAGCTAGGCTTGCTCCTCCTTATGATCTATTTAGGCATAAATAAACTTCCATCTTCTAATACACAGTCCCTTAAAATTTTTCTCAGGATTTCCCTTACCAAGAATTTAGATGTAAATTCAGTTCCTACCTTTTGTTACAACAAAATAAACAAAATAAAATAGTAAAAGAAAGAATCATCCTGCCTGCTAAGAAACTTAACTCTGCTTGGTGACAAAAAATGATAGGAATAATTTGTCAGTTTGGAAAGATAATCTCTTATAGGCAGGCCTTCGAGCTATTCTGTTAATGGAGTTACTAATCTCATATTCAGGTTCTCTATTCCATTTTTCTCATCTATGCAAAGTCATTGACAATGCTATATTTGAAGCAGCAGTTCGATATGTATATCCTATTATCGATTCTTCAAGAAAGTGACCTATCAGTGCTCTACTATGAACTGCTTATCAACACAGAGAACAGGGTACAAGGAAGCTGGGAGAGCCTGGCTACCACTATTCTGAATTCCGCCGATGTTTATGCCACGATTTACCAAAAACCTTACACTTAGATATTATTGATGAGCATCAACACTAAAATGTGCAAGAAAAATCAAATTACCTTAGTCATCAGAAAAGAAAGAGTGAAAAGTGAGGAAGGAATGCAGCACCCACCTCCTTATGCAACACATGGGTACATGCCATTGGATGCAGCTCACTGGGCTGGACAAGTTTCTGGCACATAAGACACAGCTTACAGGTGGCCGGAGCCTGCAGAACAGAGGAGGGATGGTCAAGAGCATAAGAAAATAAGGAACCTCTGAGTCTCCTTGCCTTTTATGTCCATGATTCCAGCTACTGTTTCCATGTAGTAAAAAGATTTTACACCAGGAGAAATAAAAATTCAAATACAGATTCTTGCCAAAAGTACTTACACTTTCCCAGTTGGGGCTGCCAACAACCCAGCTGAAGAAATAATGGCTTCTTCCTGCACTGTAAACCCTCTCCCTTTTTACTGACATTTTCTCCCCCACTTTCAAATCCTAGTTTTCAAAGAAAATGAGTCTTACATGTGAAGACCTTCCGGGATATGAAACTTGTGCAGAAGGCAAGAACATTGGGGTACTGATTTGGGTCAATGGAGCAGGGAACAAGGCCCGGATCCGACCAAGTGGCTGTGGGCAGAAACAGTGTCAGAGTAAGGAAAGAGTCTGAGTAACAGAGTATATAACAAAAAGAAATCATTCAGTACCCAGCTGGCAAAAGAAGACAGAAGACGAGATCCCTTGGCTGTCATGCTGCCTCTCCCCAACATCCCAGCAGGTCTGAGCCCCCAGCAGTGTGCCCTACCTGAGTGCTGGCTGCTGCCCGCTCGTGCTCTGCCAGCCGTGCAGCCACCAGCTGGATCAGCTCCTCCATGGTCAGGCCGGCCATGGTGGTGCGTGCCGTCTTGATCTGCTGAAGGATGTTGGTCATCTGGGCCCTAAAAAGGAAAGGGAGAGACAGACACATGGGGAATGTCTATCTATGAAGCCTCTCCTACTTTAGCCCATCAATTTCTCTGACAAGTTTTAAAAATTTAGTCCTTAAAGATACTTACTTATTACATTGTGGAAACCGGGTCAGCAGCTTTTCCAAGATTTTCTCCAGTTTGTCTACTGGTTGGGGCCGAGGAGTTTCAGTAGAAGCCTTAACACCGCCCAAGCCTGGGGGAGGCGGGATGGAGGCAGCAGGGGACATGTGTGGACCATGGGAGCCAAGAAGGGAACCCAAGCCAGGGCTATTTCTCCCATGGGAGCCAGGAAGGGGTGGGGAAGGCTGGCTCGGCTGGGAAAGGGCAGGATTCAGGATTGGGAAAGATAAGGAACGGGGATCTGCACTGGGCATGACCATGGGCATTGTGACCTGCCCAATGGAGAAGGGCATCCGAGGAACCAAAGAGGGACTGGGTTGGAACACCTGAAGCATGAAGTCTGTCTGCAGAGGGGAAGAGGTGGAGGAAAAAGAGAAAGCAAGAAAATGAAAGGTTAGGACCTGGAGTAGAAATCAATGAGCGACTCTTACATTAAATAATACCAGTAATAATATAATAATAAAAGCAGTATCTTCTTTAAAAAAACAAGAGAAACACACTGGCTCTGTCACAGAAAGGCTGATTCCCCCAAACCAGCATTTCTACCTACCTCTGATGGGGGTGGAGGCAAAGTAGGAGTAGGAATTTGAGGAAGGCTGCTCAGCTTCGCTCCATTCCTCACTAGTTGGATATGATTATTAAACTGGTCCTAGAAAAATGAGAAAGGACAGGATTATCCCTTACTATGGAGCTGAATGAGCCTCCCTAGAAAGAAGGCACCAACCCATATGAAGAAAACAAAGGGAGTGGTAGAAAAGGCTCTAAATGGCAATGTAAAAGGTCCCTACCTATCACCAGAAGTACTGAGGCATAGATTAACTCAGACTCAATGATCCCCATTACTACACTTACCCGAACATTCTTTTTCATCATCCGAACTCCATTCAGTCTTGTCTCCCACTCCTGTTTAGAACGAACTGTCTCTAGGGTTGGGGGAGTTGACCTTTCAAGAAACCAACAGGAGTTTACAGAATTAAAGAAAACCTAACTTCCAGCACTCTGAGATAGCATAACAGTAACTGGCTAATGGGCCTGGAGAGAAGAGGTCAAACCAGATACAAGAAAAGGATGAAGATCTAGGTCATTTGCCTCATTTTAACTCCAACATCTTTTAAGCCAAATATTGGATAAAGAGAACCAACCACTGAGACAAGGGTCTTATTTGCCTGAAAATGCCAGGGGGTACTCCAGATTCCATGGCAAAAAGAGGAGAAATGACTATATAAGAAACAAATATCCAAAGATAATTGTAATGATTTGACAGCATAAAAGATATTGTTTATACAACTGAAACTAATACAATAGAAAATACAAAACTATAAAAGTATAGAAAGGAAGAGTTGGAGAATGAGGAAGTTAGAATACGGGAAGAGAAATCACCAAACAATTACTACTGCTCAGAGATGACCTTGAAATTCCTGTGAAAATAAAATAAGTGCCAGACTAGCTGGCCTAGGGTTTCAAGCCATTAAAAAAAAAAAAAGAAGAAGAAGAACCCACACACCCCCAAACTGCAGGACCATTAACATTCTAGAATGGGAAGTTACTTACTTGAGGTAAGTAAGGTGCAGTTCTGCCTCTTTTTCTGCTTCTTCTAGCTTTAGTACCAGCAACTCTTTCCGACTCTCTAATGATAAGATCTAAGGAAACCACACACACACACACACACACACGCGCGCACACTTTATTAATTTTACATACCCATAGTTTAGTTAAAACTAATGCTTAGTGGCTATATGATATAATACTTGTATGTCCTAGTGGTATAATACTATACCAAAAGGATATACCATCTTTTTGGACACATCTGGAAGCCCTAAATCAAGGCCTTCAATATAGCAACTGTTCTTCTCACCTCTGCCTTCCAGGCCCGTTCAGTCTCTTCCATAATGTTTTGGTTTATTTCGCCATCCTGATTCTTGAGTCTATCCAGTTCCATTTCCCATACCTCTCTGTAAGGTAAGAAACCAAGGACAAGACTAAGGGGAGAAAGACACCAAGGCAAAGTAAAACCCAAAACTGGTCTGCCAGTTATGCTACAGAAAGTCTTACTCTAAATATTAACTATAGATTTAGACAATGTTTAAAATAGTCTGTAACTGCAAAAAGGCAAGTAAAATTTGAAAGTAAAAATGTTCATATCTCCACTTGCTAAAATAAGGTTACCCAGAGCAGGAAAAAGAGTGTACTTAGCACCAAACCCACTAAAAGCAGAATGTTCTTCTGTGTTCAAAAAGGGCTCAAAACCATTATAGCATTCCTCTTATTCCAACTTATCTCTTGGTATAGGTACTGAAGAATGCAGGATGAAAAACAGGGGTCCATTTAATACTAATCTCTAATTTACTACTAAGCACATGGTTACTGGCTTACTGATCTTCTTATTTTTCTTATTTTCTTAGTTAGAGTAAACATTCTTAAAAAAATGTCTCTGGATTAGGATGACAGTGTTTCTAGTACTGAGGGAGTTTCCAGAATGGGGAACCTGTTCAGGACTAAAGATGCCAATAAAGGAACAGAGCCAGCAAAAGAAATTCCTTCTATTTGGAGTATTTGACTGTAATATGTTTTATGGCTAAAAGCAACAGGATTATCCAGATCAGTGGACACAATATGGAAAAGTTTAAATTATTTTAAAAAGGTGAAAATAAGAAGAAAGTTCAAAAAAATTACATCTTAAAAATGTTCACAGTTTTGCCCTGACCAGTGTGGCTCAATTGGTCCAGCATTGTTCCACAAAGCAAGATGTCACCAGTTCAGTTCCCTATCAAGGCACATGCCTGGGTTGCGGGTTCTGTCCCTGGTCAGAATGCATGTGGAAGGCAACCGGTCGGTATTTCTCTCTTACATCAATGTTTCTCTCCCTCTCTTTCTCCCTCCCTTCCCCCACTTAAAAAAAAAAAAGGAGAGAGAAAAAATAAGTTCCTAGTTTTTTTCAGTGAGAGAAGCAGTTTTACTCCTCTTGTTTTTTCAGTAGCCTTGTATATTTGAAAAGGAACAATTCAGTTAAATTTTTGAGGTCTCTTCTTTCATTTGACCCAATCCTCCATACATCCCTGTTCTCTATTTCACAGGTAATGTATAGGTGTATTTGTGTATGTGTGTTACACACATATTCATTGATTCACTAACATTAGTCTGCCCCCTCTACTGACAAGGTCTTCTTAATGTAACAGAAATGACTAGGTGAGCATTTTGTTCCTTAATCTCCATGTGCTGTCCTCCTCAAATTAACTTCCGGCCAGAGGAAAAATTCTCTAATAGTTCTTTACATAGAGGTTTACAGTAGATGTGGTTTTCTGCTGCAACACAAATTCCTCAAGTTAAAAAATATATGAGGAGTCACCCTTTGCAACAGCATGGATGGACCTGGTGAATATTATGCTAAGCAAACTAAGCTGTCAGAGAAAGACAAATACAGTATTATCTCACTCATACGTGGCGTCTAATGAACAACAAAAACTGATGAACGAAATAAAACCAGAGGCATGGATACATGGAACAGACTGACAGATCTCAGAGGGGAAAGGGTAGGGGACTGAACGAGATTAGCCAAAGAACACATATGCATATATGCAGAGTCAATGGACACAGACCAACTATGCAATGAAAGCTGGGGATAGGTAGGGGGTGAGTGGAGGAGGGTTAGAGGAGGAATGTGGGGGACATCTGCAATAGTGTCAACAATTGTAAAAAACCTAAAAGCAAAAATAAAAACTGCTGCTCTATAATACAACAAACAAGTTTTTGCAGGAAAACCAGAAGCAGGATCATTAGCTGTGGGAGAATTGCAGGATGGAGAGGGAAGCTGAGGAAAAAAATGAAGAATGAAAGAGTGGACACCTAGGACTGATGGAAAGCAGAGCGGGCTCGGCTGATGTGAGAGGCAGCACACAACATATGTGTGCGTGTGTGTGTTTGCAAGTCCAGTGGTCCTGGTGGATAAGCAAAGGGCTACAGTGGAGGTAAGTAGGATGGGTATAATGGATGTATAAAAAGGTAAGGGAACTGGAGATTCTGGCAGAAAGGAGTTAAAGCTCCCCTTCCACACTGACCCCATCTCAAACCTGCTATGGGAGGGAAAGGTAGTATTTTTTCAAAAAGCTATTAAACAGTTATGGGGAGACACACACACACACACATACACGAGTCAAAATTCTCTTACCGTAAGAATATATGAAATATGTTGTGGGGTCTATCAATGATCTCTCTGCCTACCAGTCCCTCTTTGACAATGGGATAATCGTAGGAAAACATTACAATTGAATTCTTTGATCAATGTTATTCTTGAAGATTATAGATGCTCACTGAATATCTCTAACTTCATTAAATACATTTGTCAACTACAGATATACATTTATATTAGAAAAATCCTCCTACCATGCTCATGGAGACATTCCACATATACACACACAAAGAAAGTTTTTCCTTTGGGCATCCGGCCACATATACCTCATTGGGATCCAACAAGACAAAAGGGACTACTAGCAACAACCACAACTGCTGCTAGCAAACAACTAAAACAATCATAAAAATGCCCAATCTTATTATGTAAACTAGCCTGTAACACATGTATCATATTTCATTTCATGAAAGGGGACTACCTGCAACCCTTGCTAGACAAAACTCAGTTCCCTGCAGTAGATGGTTAAAAATATCTTTGATAGAATAGATAGAATGCAGTGAGTCTACTGTAACTTTTTAAATGCTTGATCTTGTTTCTTTCAAGTCCCACACTTGTATTATTTTGCAAAGTTAGTTCAGGGAATCAATGGTTCAAATGAATAAATCCTACCAGACTGTACAAGCCTGACTTGTTGTAGGTCCAATGGCTGCATAATTAGAAAACTTAATTTTGTTTTTGCTCATGTAAGTAATACAAATTATAAAAAGTTTAAAAAATACAAAACATACAGAATATAACATAGAGGTCCCAACTCTTCTATTTATTGGTTGTATAACCCTGCAAGTTAACCTTTTTAGGCTACGGTTTCTTCATCTGAAAAGTTAGTACCTACAACACAGAACTCATGGAAGAATTCACTGAGAAAATACACATAAAAAATTTAATATGGTGCCTAGAACATTAGATGTATCAGCAAATGTTATTTTTCTAAGCATTAATATTTTTAACTCAATTTCTCACTATTGCACTAACAAAAAAATCATTTATTTTTCAACTTTTTCAGTCTTTTAAAAATATGTATTTATATATAATATACAATTCCATTATATCTGAGTCTCAAAGACTGTGATTTTTATCTTTCAGCCTCACATACTCGTATTTTCCCTAACATTAAGTATTCTTGAAAAAATGTGATTTTTAAATAACTATGTTACACAATACATGTCTACCATTACTTACTAAGGTATGCTCAAAGTTATGTTCTATTAGTATTTTATTTATTTATTTTCAGAGGGTAAGGGAGGAGAAAGAGAGGGAGAGAAACATCAATGTGTGGTTGTTTCTCATGCATCCCTTACTGGGGACATGGCCCACAACCCAGGCATGTGCCCTGACTAGGAATTGAACCAGTGACCCTTTGCTTTGCAGGCCAGTGCTCAATCCACTGAGTCATCAGCCAGGGCTCAGAGTTATTTTCAATTTCACAATTATAAATAATTCTATAATGAGCATCTGTGCATATGTACTCACATAGGTTAAGGATAAAAGTAGTGTGTTTTGAGAGGAAGCTACTAAAAGTAGTTAAGAACGTAGCCTCCAGAGCCAAATTAAGCGCTGAGTTAAAATTCAGATTGTATTTCTTTTCTGTGCCTCATTTTGTTAACGTAAAATAGGAATAATAAAAGACTCTACCTCTCATAGAGATATCAGATTAAATGTGTTAAATATGTAAGACACTTAGAACAGTATCTGGCATAGTTAAGAACTTAATGAATGTTAATTATCATACAGATGTTAGAAAACCTTCCTTCAGAGAAACTAAAATACATGTAGTGTACATTTTTGCACCAGTATTGGTGATGGAAATCAGGTGATGAGAGAAGCAGATGCTAAGTGTCTTGTGGTATCTTCAACAGTCAGAGAGAGAGCTAAAAATTAAGATGTTGAATCCCAGACCAAAATACCTTCCTTTCAGAATACAGTACACTCTAGACAAGGCAAAAGGAAACAAAATTAAAACTGTTGGGTGAGTTAATATATAAGGGTTGGCTGTCCTGATTTTCTCTGAAACTGAAGTTAATACAAATGAATAAAAAATCAATGAGATCAGACATGAAACAGAAAATATTTACCCTGGGGTGAATTATAAATTTATTGCTTAAGAAGCTAGAATTCTTCCTTGATTTAATTTCATTCAACATTTACTGAACAGCCTAGTGATGGGCATTCTGCTAAAATCTGGGGATATAAGATGCCCTGTCCCCACTCCCAAGAAGCTCACAATTTCGTAGTTTTCTGGGTGAACAAAAGAAACAAGAAAATTTTGAGCAGAACAAATAGCATGTGCAAAGGCCAGAATATGAGAACACGAAGTTAAGGAAGCAGTCTGTGTAGTTCAGCAGGAACAAACAACAGTGTCACTTAGCATAGAGACAGTAGTAGAAACCCTACATACGAAAGAAATAATCTACAACAGCAGTTTGTAAAACACAGTTCATGATCTATAACACTATGATAACCTGGTCTATGAAGCAAAAAAATAATTTCATATTAACACTAAAATTATTTGCCTTTTTTTTACTCTCATTCTTTCATGAGTCTACAATGGAGTTTTCCTGAGACCACATGACAAATAATAATATCATCACTTGGATGGCTAATGGAATATATGCTTCTGTATTCTTAAGTTTCCTAGCATTTTCTAAGGTAGGTTTAGGGTATATGTAATCTCTCAGTACTTTTCTTTCTCAATTCTTCTGTTGTACTTTTCCTAGCTATCTTTGGTAATGCTTGCTATAATCTCCATAATCACACTGTTGTCCAAAA